AATATATATATATATATACGGCCAAATACGACACTCATACACAAACTATCAGAAGATGCCGGTTAAATACGGAACTAGCACACACAGGGCATCACGTAGATGCCGACTTAATAGAGCGCTCGTAACAAAGGGGTTAAATCCAGGCACTAATGACCGCTGGTCAAATAACATGTAATGCGAGTTACATTATACTATATATACTCATATTATATATTCTTTACCTTGGCGTAACCTTAACTGTACTTTCGCAATTTAGGTATACAATGATGGGAGCAAGAATATCCAAGTCAGTAATTTTTCAATATTTAAGATAATTTCTGCAGTTGTGACGTGATGGCGCAGGGAATAGAGAGCTCGCCTCAAAACGAGGTGATTCTGGTTCGAATCTCAGCAATGACTGGTTGATGCGAAGCTCGCACCCGCCCATAGTGCTGGCGAAAAGTATCCTTCATAGTACACGGATCATTGGTTACAGTTTCCTTGCTTTCGGGCTATCCGTGAAAGGTTTTCGTGGTTTTCCTCTTCATGTAATGCAAATGCGGGTTATTACCATTAAAAAGTTTAATCCAAATCCCTGACTTCTGCATTAGTTTCAAAATTACTGAGCAGCGGAGTTGAACATTAGTAGTAGTAAACCCGAAAACTTGGGTCCGCTGTTCAACGGCAGATATAAAATAAAATTGAATAATATAGATTTGCGAAGAACAAAATTCTTTTTATCCCAATTTATTAAAATGAAACTGTGGACCTTTCCCATTCTAAAACCTTTCGAATTTTGTTTCGCTGCGTCAAATAAAGCAGAAGTTATTGATGATTTAAAAAACCATCCGTAATTATTAAGTTGAGAATATGTCTTTTTTAATCTGCCTTTTTCTCATATTTTCCTTCGGTTATTCTCCTTCATTCTAAATGCAATATTTAAATATATTCCAGTTTATACTCTTCAAATTTTGCAGGAATGTTTTCAATATATATGTTTAGGGAATAGAGAATGAACTAGTGAATTTAACAACTAGTTTTTATTTTACAGCTACAATAAAAATAATTAATCGCAGTCTTCGACCACTTTTTGCCGAATAAGTTTTTATATTTGCCATAAAATATATAAATATTAATATTATGTCTAATGCGTATTCTATTCCCTAAGTTGAATTTATACGAGCATTATAAAGCAAGAATAATGAAAAACAAATCATTTTAACAAAGTTATGTGATTTTGAAAAAGAAAAAAAAAATTTCAATTTTGGCCAGTTTTCCCTTTTTCTTCATTTTTTTCTGTATTTATATTATGTTTTAATGTATAATTAAAAATTTTGTCTCTGACGGTACTTCGGGACCTTATGAGAAAAATATTTAAAAAAAAGTTAATAAAACCTAAAGAATAAATGAGGTTTTTAATAATACCAGAACTAGTTGAAGTGCCACGTGTAGTTACGTAATGTACTGCAGGTTGGCGAAATCTGCACTATTCTCATCATATATCGAACGGCTTGGTCAACCGAACACTTTATGAATTCTCTTGTTTCTGAAATAAAATCTCAATATGGTGAGTAAGTCAATGATTGAAACAATAATTATTAAAAATTAGTCGCAAGAGAATTTTGAGGTTGTTTATTTAGGCCAAAATAAATTAAATTGCATAATTAAAATGAAATTTCATTTAACATAAATGTATGAAATAATTTGAAGTAGCATCTGAAGTAATATAAATTGATCTGAGATAAAATTTTAGAGTTTTTTTTTCCATTTTCTATTGAGATTCTTATTTTTCGGGGGGGATTTCTTGCTTTTTTTTCTTTCCTTTTAACTGTTATTTGTTTTTTTTCTTTCGAGACACAAGATAATTTTCAGCACAAAGGACAGTTATATTTTTTAATTTTTTTTGTTGCTTTTTTTCCATTTTACGATTTTTTTGATAGGTTAGGTGTGCACAGAACATCTATCTTCTTCTAAGTGCCACTCATTTACCCTTTCTTCGCTATAGCGACCAATCCTTAATTCATTCGGTATCCTTTACGTCCTCTACAATCTCTTCTACTTCTTCTTCTCTCTTCCTGGTGGTTGGCTACCTGTGATGGCTCAATATCTTCACCCCATGCTTTGAAAAATAGATCTCCCGCCAAATGTGAATTGCGTTCAGTCATTCGATTTCTACATGCTGTAGGAAGCAACGCAGCTAAAACTCATAAACGAATGAGTAAAGCGTACAGAGAAGCGTTCGTGAGTGACAGCAATGTGCGGAAATGGTGCAGGAACTTTGATGCTGGACGCACAGATGTTCATGATGCAGGCGGCCATGGAAGGAAGTCAGTGTCAACCGATGATCTTGTTCAGAGAGTGGATCAAGCGATTCGCGGAAATCGTCAGTTCACAATTTCTGGGTAGAGTGAATTGATTCCAAGAATTTCCTCGGTAAGCTCTGTACCATTGTAAGTTAAAGACTCGAGTATCGCAAGCTCTGCGCGAGATGGGTTCCCACGATGTTGTCTGGTCATCACAGAAGTTAACGAATGGGTGCCGATTTAACCTTCCTCCAGCGCTATCATCACAACTGAGATGAGTTTCTTTTGGGCAAATTTGTCACAGGAGATGAGGCATGGGTTCATTACGAAACTGAAGAAACACTTTCTAGGAGGACAAACTTTCGCCACAGACAACGAGCTGCAAACCAGCGTATAGAATAGGCTGAAAACACAAGCGGCAGCATTCCATGATGAAGGTATTGGAAAATTGATACCACGCTGCAACAAATGTATGAATTGGAACGGCGATTACTCCGAAAAAGAACTTAATGTTGTATCACGTTGTTACATATAAAATTTTCTTGATTCAGACTGTGATTTTCTCTACGCGACCAATCGGACATGAAAAAAAATAGCCCTCGTATTTGCTCCTGTATTACAGCCAGCTTGATAAAAAAAGAACTTTCAATTCGAGTTAAAATTTGCTATAAAAAGGTAACTAAATACCTTAAGATATAGGTAAAGATATACCTAAGTATGTTGGTCCAATGAAATTGTGATACCTGATACATTAAGAATACCTGATACATTAAGAAATTTAGGTAATACGAGGGCTATTTTTTTTCAAGGTCCGATTGGTCCCGTAGAGAAAATCACAGTCTGAATCAAGGAAATTTTTTATGGAACAACGTGATACAGTATTAAACTACTTTTCTGCGTAATCGCCGTTCCGATTCATATATTCGTCGTAGCGTGGTATGAATTTTCCAATACCTTTATCATAGAATGCAGCCGCCTGTGTTTTGAGTCAATTCTATACGCTGGTTCGCAGCTTGTTGTCTGTGGCTTAAATTTGTCCTCCTAGAAAGTGTTTCTTCAGTTTCGTAATGAACCCATGCCTCAACTAATGTGACAAATTTGTCCAAAAACTCATCTCCGTCCTGATGATAGCGCTGGAGGAAGGTTAATGCGGCGTTCATTCGTTAACTTTTGTGATGACTAGACAACATTGTGGGAACCCATCTCGCGCAGTGTTTGCGGTACTCGAGTCTTTCACTCACAATGGTATAGAGCTTACCGAGGAAATTCTTGGAATCAATTCACTCAACCCAGACGTTGTGAACTGACGATTTCCGCGAATCGCTTGATCCACGCTCTGAACAAGATCATCGGCAGACACTGACTTCCTTCCATGGCCGCCTGCATCATGAACATCTGTGCGTCCAGCATCAAAGTTCCTGCACCATTTCCGCACACTGCTGTCACTCACGAACGCTTCTTTGTACGCTTTACTCATTCGTTTATGAATTTTAGCTGCGTTGCTTCCTACAGCATGTAGAAATCGAATGACTGAACGCAATTCGCATTTGGCGGGAGATCTATTTTTCAAAGCATGTTTACGTGCTCCATTAAAATTTTTCATCTTCTTCAGCTTTTCATCTTCTAAAATTTTTCATATATCTCTCTTCAAAGTTCTTATGCCTTTCTCCTCTCTCTCGATTTTTACTTTCTCTTCTTTAAATTCCTTCGCAATCTCTCTCAAAATTCGTCATTCCTATAACAGATTTTCAGCCAAACGGGTTTCTTCAGACTGGTTGGTTTTAGCCTTGTTCTAGTGCACACATAATTTTAAAAGACACATAGTATTAATTGGAACAGAAAAAAATATGAATTTAGAGTTTTCTTGCAATTAGTGCATTTGCTTCTTCTTGAATGAAAAACATCTTGTTAAGGATATCAACTTATTTCTGAAAGATTTTTTCTTTTTTTTTGTTTCTTCTATTTTTTGGATGGATCTGACTACTTTGATGAAGACTGATGGAACTTGCTGACTAGATAGGTTTTCTCTCTTCTTTTTTTCTATTTCTCTATCTGCCTGTCTTGCTTTAGCTAATATTTCGAAGTAAAATTCAAGATTTTCTGTTGATCCAAAATCTCTGTAAATGGGATCATTATATTTGGAACTGTCGGGGATTGCGTTTGATGTCTTTCTTTGAAGCCCAGCACTTTCCTCCCCTAATTCCTGGGCAGATGGTACATGGGGGGAACTGCTGAAATTTGGTGCTTTAGATTGAATCCCGGCATTTTCCTCTACTGAGTATTGGATAGATGGTGTCAAGATGGAACTGCTGAGATTGGTATTTGACGTTTCATATGGAATCCCGACATTTTCCTCTGAGTTCTGGATCGATGGTAGGAATGAGGAACTGCTGGGGATGATGTTTGATGTTTCATATGAAATCCGAGCATTTTCCTCTGAATTCTGGATAGGTTGTGTCAATGAAGAAATGCTGGATCTGATGTTTGATGTTTCATATGAAATCCGAGCATTTTCCTCTGAATTCTGTTTAGGTGGTGTCAATGAAGAATTGCTAGGGCTGATGTTTGATGCTTCATATAGAATACCAGCATTTTCCACTTCCGAGTATTGGTTCAGTGATGTCAATGAGGCACTGCAAGGGATGATGTTTGGTGTTACAGTTGGGATTTCATCATTTTCCTGCCATGGGTGTTGGTTCTCCTCTTCTAATATTTTTGCTTTCATTGCTGGACACAATAGGAAGAGTCTTTCACGGATGTCATTCCAGTCAATGTTTATTGGATCTTGGTCTGATTGGATAAGCTTGGGCTCTTCGGTTTCTCTGGATGGTGTTAGTTTTGGTTTGATGTTGATGCTATTGCAGGATGCTATTGCTTCATAAGGTTCATTACAGTATTTTTCATTTTCAAACACTATGTGGATAGGCTTAATGGAAGCATTTTTCTTTTTGAATCTGAAAAGTAATTCATATCTGTCAGCATATATGTTGTTCATAACTATTAATGTTGCACATAATTATTTTACGTACCTCTTCAGTTAAATATAATTCAACGTGTTTCACCTTTTTAAATTTTTTGTACTCAAATATACTTATACTTTTAAACATTCCACAACTTGAAGTTTTCAACTCAAAAGTTTTGATCTAGTGAAAGTAGAAATTAAAATTTTAAAAGTTTTAGGGTTTTCGAATTCAAACAATTTTACGAAAATTTTTTACTTACTAAACTTTCTAGAAGTGACAAATTCTGTTTTATCCCTTTGTAATTTTTTGACCGATATGTTTAACAACATGTTTATAAACTTTGAAATTTATTTGTCCTAAAAAATAAAGCCTCAAGTGTTTTTACACTAAGTTCTTCAATCATTTCATACATGTCCTACTGTGGACTGACCATAAGATACGGTTCCCATAGGATCACTGAAGTTAAGTATCTCTAGCAACGGTCAATGAGCTGGTAGGTGATAATTTTGATCAACTTACAAAGATATCGAGGATAAAAAGGTCTATCGAGGTCTTTTTTAAACTGTTCTAAATACTCGCACTAAGATTGTCAGGCTACCGAACAGGGGGCGCTAACCCCTTTTTCAGAGGATCAAAATTAAGACTGTATGTCTCCTGATCATCCTCAGGAATGTTTCCCAGACCGTAGCCAATATCATAATGTAAATACCCGCTTCTACTACATTACATATGAGATCGCTTTTCATACTTTGACTTCCATAAGCAGATGCAATCTAGAGGTTATTCAAATATCACTCAAAAAAAGATTTTTCAATCGAACATCAATGGTAACATTTTATTAAGACATATAATAGTGCCATAATGGAGCTAAGTTTAAAAAGGAAATAACATTAAAAAATTTAAAATAACAGCTTTTAAAATAAATGAAATATTACTTACAATTTGGAAAAGACAGTTTTAAAGAAGTTCTTCATGACTAGGATGTTTTTAAGCGAGTTTTTGCAGTTTGAAGCAGGAAATTACTTATAGCAATGATTCGTCGGAAAAGTAAGGGATCGAAAAGAAAGACTGCTAACAATCAATACTTTAATTGTTACACTACTTTATTAAAAAGATTTTCAAAAAATTTAATGCGGTTACATTGTTGTTAAATATTGACAACAATGCCCATATTATCTTGGGCAAAACGTAGAGAACAAGGGAAGGCATGCTACCCGGCTGTAGTTTCAGGGCTATTCACTATCACATATTTTACAAATATTTTATAGATTGGTAACTAAAACCTAAAACTCTCAGAATTTTTTGTAAATTCACCAACATTTTAAATGCTTCACCTCGAAAGAGCTGGAACAAAGTGACGTTTTATGTGAACTTTAGAAACAATTTCATTTAGTTGTGGAAAGATAACTTTAAATTAAATTTACAAAACAATAAATCATACATTTAAACATAAACGTAGTACATTAAAACAAAAATTATTCCAAAAACGTAGAATGTTGACAACCCTGTAATTTTTCTTAAACTTCAAGATAATTTTCAATGCTGTTTTTTTCAGGCACGAATTATTATTTATTTATTAAAAAATTAAAATTAATATTTAATTAATCAAGATGAATTTTTGGTTATACTTTTACATATTTCAAGTTATATCTTACAATTTATTGACTTTAAAATGCAATAAAATCTCACAATATGGGCTGAATGATTGCACAATGAAAAGATCTTTCTATTGTTAGTTCATAACTGAATTTAGTATATATTTATGAAACAATAAATTATTTTTAGTTGTATTTAATTTTTATTAATATAGACTCATTCCATCGGAAATGGACCAATGGCAGTTGACCTCTTATCATTGATTTTTATTAAATATTTTGTGAAAAGTACGTGTTGAAAAAGGAGTAAAACAATTGTTTAAATATTTTTGATACAGATCTAACAATTAAAAGACCAGTTTAAAGTTTTACTGATTTTTTTAAAAAAATTATGTATTTAGGGTTTATGAATAATTTTAAACGTCTATCACTTTTTTCGTAGTTACACCCAATTTTCTTTATTTTAATTTTATTAGATAGAAAAAAAGCGAGAACTATGTAATTCAACTAATGAAATTCTGGATATTTATGAAATATTTAAACATCTGCTTTGTAGTCATTTTTGGGGGGAATTGTTATAAAGAAATCACAAGTGTTACAATCTCGACTTTTCTTTTCATGTAATGTTATACAACATAATTTTCAGAATGAAAAAAACGCAAAAGAATGTTTTTTTGTTTTGGGTTATTAATAAAGTATATGCAGTGCAGTGAAGAAAAATTAAAAATTTTACTATATATTATTTGTTTATTAAATATGAAATTTTTAATTACAATTTAATAAATACTATTACTTTCAAAATTTTAGAAAATTTAATTATGAGTATTTGCCTGGAATTCAAAAGGGTTATTAAAGTTATAGATGGTGAAAACAGTGTAAGCATGCAGGCCATTTTCTCTATCTACTCCATTTTGCAACATTGTGGCAAATTTCAAAATGGCTCCCAGTAGTTTTGATCCAGACAATTTGAAAAAATATTTTAAACCGTTTTCATCTTTTGTTTTTTAATTAAAAATTTTTTTAAAAACCTCAGACCCTGGCGGAATTTAGCTGTGCGCAAAAAACAACAAACACTTAATTACTTTTGATCGGATTTTCACTCAGAATTAGGATGCTAAAGTGCTGAAATTCGAAAGCTTGATGTGAAATAAGCTAATCAATTGGCTCACGCGAAATTTTAAATTACGAAAATTGAAGGGGATTTAAATGTATAGTTTAATGTATATTCATTGGTTAGTAAATTGAAAGAATCAACACTAACTTTTACACAAAATCTTGATGGTTACTGATAACTAGGTTTTCAAAAAGAATTTCTATGCAAATCTTTGAAATTTTCTTGAATGGAATTTGGATGTTAATTGGATTCCCGTTTTATTTTAAAGTATAATTTTGGGAATTTATTAAGACTTTTCAATAAAAACTGAACAATTTCAAAAGCCTTCTAAAACTGAGAAAAAAAATTGTTTTAAAGATATGAGTTTACAATTAAATAACGTATTTCAAAATTATTTTTTTTAAATATTTTACTACTCACAACATATAGATAACCAAAAAAATGAATTACTGCAAGATTGTCACTAATTGTTACTGATAATGAGTTTTTAAAATAGTTATGTTTCTTAAATATTTGTCAAACCATTAAAGTTATCAACTAAAGATCAAAATGGTTGACATGAATAGCAATCTATAAATCAAAAGAAAGTGATCTAAACGTAAATAGAGGCTATAAAAGGCCCAAGAAACTTCTGAATTAGCTAACAGACTATCCTCATTATTAAAAATATAGGCAAGAAATTATTTTTTTGAAAATTAAATTCAGTTTTTTAAAATATTTAAAGATAATCTAAAAGCAAACATATTCTACTAACAGTAAACATTACCCAATATCTATTCTATATGATATGTTTGTGCTAGATTTACAATATGTATAGTCCTGCAGTGGATTGATCGTTAAGACACAGTTCCCAGCAGATCACCGAAGTCAAGCATCACTTTCTGCTGTCAGTGTGCGGGTGGGTGACCACACTCGTAGGATCAGTCTGCGTAGGGACCGAGAGAGTGCGGTATTGGTCCTCGTTTAACTGTTCTACCGCAAAGTGCTCGACTTCGAGAGCAGGTCGTCGGGCTACCTAAGCGGGTGTGCCATCCGCGCTGCGGAGAATCCAAATTGTGATGGCATGTCCTCGGATCATCCTCAGGAACGTTTCTCAGACCGTCGCCAATAGCCCATTGCGCAGCACTAGTGCGACGTAAATGAACTACAATTACAACTGGTGGTTGGATTTATAAGAATTATTGCACATTACAAAAGTAAAGTTACCCATACTTATACATAATTTCATGTGTCCTTTTATTCAGAATTTTCTTTAAGATTGAGGATTCAGATATAAGAAATTCTTTTTTATTACAGGTGGATTTAAAACACAAATACCAAACCGTTGACTCTGACAAGATACCCATGGGAATAGATCTGAGCGAGTTCTATCTTAGTGTTGAGTGGGATATAATGGCAGTGCCAGCAGTTCGGACAGAGAAATTCTACAGTTGCTGTGAAGAACCTTACCCTGATATAACCTTTAATATCACTTTAAGAAGAAAAACCTTATTCTACACTGTGAACCTCATCATACCTTGTGTCTTCATCTCTTTTTTGTCCATCCTCGTCTTTTACCTGCCTTCAGACTCTGGGGAGAAGGTCAGTCTGTCCATCTCCATCGTCCTTTCCCTGGGTGTCTTCTTCCTACTGCTCTCGGAAATCATTCCACCAACCTCACTCACGGTGCCATTGCTCGGAAAGTACCTACTTTTCACTATGATTCTGGTTTCTTTCTCCGTGTTTGTTACTATCGCTGTTCTCAATGTCAACTTCAGGTGAGATATTAGAAAACAGTTTCTGCTTTTCTTAAAAATGTTTTTATTGCTTTAATTATTCATTAAACCTTGTTTTCTAACAGTACTCTCAATTGAACAGATAATACTCGACAAAACTTTCACCAAAGACATAGTACAGAGTGCCCAATAGTGAATTAACTGGTTTCAAAATAAAAAAACCTTGGAAAAAGTCGTAGGAGTGAAGAAACAAACGATATACTTAGTGTAAATACATAAAAATTTTATGAAAAAACATTAAAATTTAGTAAAAAAAAGTGTCAGCGGGTGACGCTCTAAGCCACCATTTAAAAGAGCAATCAGCTCTAGCGTTAAAACGTGAAGGGAGGTTGCCATATCAGTTTAGAAGGTTTAAACTATGTATTCGGATGAAAAACGTGTCTTTCATGTTCTGTAATATCACTGGTTAGATTTTTTTCTCGTCATTTGTATTTTTTTTAGACTCTGCACCATCGCACAGTGCCATCTAGTAGAAAGTTTTGTAACTAAATTCCAAAGTTATTGTATCAAATTTTTTGGGCTCTCACAAATAACATACCGTTTGTTTCAATTCGTTATCATCATTTGTTTTCAAGATTTTCAATTTCCAAATCACTCGGTTTTTTACTTTATACCCAGTAGTTGACTTTTAATAATAATAGAGAAATAAAAATTGAACTGATAAGTAACAAAAAGAAATCAACTACTTATTTCTTTTATTCTATTATCCTTACCCATTGGTAAAAAGGATGTTGTGCTAAGTTTTCCATGTCCAAGCCCTTTTGGACTAGATCAACTTTAACACCTTAATCACCAATATAGAGTTGTAAGAGTCATAAAAAATCAGACTAACATAAGAATCAACAACTAAATGGCACAAGATCAATTAAAAAAAGCAGACAATAATTTTGGAGCTTCTTGAGTTTGATTGTTTTCCAGACAGAGTTTCTTTCTTTTTTAATTTTCGTCAGCGGATTACTCCTAATATCAGGTCTACCTATTCTAGCTCTATGAAAAGCAAAAACTCGATGTGGTATGGACTCAACAAATAGTAAGAAGTCTCTTGAAGGAATATTCAGCCTTGCATCCTCAATAAATGTTCATACTACGAAAATGCTGAGGGTGTAAGATTTTATGCACGAACTGACCGCTTCCTTACATCACTTAAATTTCTATGATTTTCATGTCGGGTGATCAAGTTGGCCAAATTATTCAATGGAATAGTTCATTGAAATGTTCAATGGAATAGTCGGGAATAATTAAGGCCCGGTGTTACTGCTTATTGCCATCCATAAAAATTCCAACACTGTTTGAATTCCATGAATGGCTGCAAGTGGTCTCCAAATAGCTGAACATAACCATTTTCAGGCAATGTTTGGTGCAATCGGACCATAGGACTCTGTGATGCAATGAAAAAGCAGCCCATTTCATTGTGGAGTCACCACCAGATTGGATAGTGCTTTGTTGATAACTTGGTTCCATGGCTTCATGAAGTCTGCGCCACACTCGAATTCTTCCATCAGCTCTGATCAGTTGAAATCGTGACTCATCCGACCAAGCTGTAATTTTAAAGTCGTCTAGTCCAACATACCAATATGATCACGAAAACACTGGACGTGATGTCTAGCTGTTAGTAAACGCACCCGAGTTGGTCTTCTGCGTTGCACTGTCCTAACGGACATTTCTATTCCACATCGGTTATTGCTATTCTTACTGTTATTTCACGCAAGTTTTATCTCCGTTAACACTGTCAATTGTACGCACACGTCGATGGTCGCGGTCATTAAGCTCGCCGTCAGCCACGTTGTTGACTAGTTTGTCCAAGGGAGAAGGTAATGCCTGTAATTGCGTAAACAAATACATATATTTTGTAATTGATTTATGCCAGTTAACCATGCATAATAAAAAATTTCTTAAAATGTCAGCTCACTGGATCTTATGTAATTCGAAAACTTTACATTGCATTCGATTAAAAATTTTAACATTTATTTTGTTATACTTACTTGCGAAACTATTGATTGTAGAAGTAATTATTTACTTCCTCATATACTCAACTCACAAACGGGTTTAGTTAAGGTGTGAATATTATTGTACTATTTCATTTAAATTTCAACATAAATCATGGTAAGATTGGAAATTTCTCGAAATTTTTTTTGTTTGGTTAACTTAAGAAAGATTTAAAATAACATTTAAGAGTACTCATTGACTAAGTTTACTTTGGTGTTTAACATAGACTTTGGTGTTTAACATTCAGGGGGTCATGTTAAAAACCATTTTGCTTCCTTTTATTTTTATTTAATTGTTTTGTGCTACCTATTAGTTTTTGTTGTTTTTGTTGTTTTCTGCTAATTTGAGTTCGAATTTTAATTAACCTTTAATGCTAGAACATTAAACTAGTATAACTGCTTACAACGACATGCTCGCTTTAGCGACATTTCCATTCGTAAACGTAACTGAATTTATTGAAATTTTATAAGTGAGACTTTTTTTCTTTTTCACAATCTAAATTTTCTGTGTTTATACAGCACTATGTTTGTACAACCCCTGGCTAAGTTATATACCTTCTTACAAACGAACAATTCTTCTGCTGTGTTATTATGTTTAGGAATCTTGCTGTATAAGAATGAGCTTTTGTTAACTACTTATTTACCATGTATTTGCCTTTTGACAACTTATTATCGAAATCAACTTTGCACTTTCTTTTTTTCTTTTTTCCTTATTTCTTTCTTTATTTATTTATTTCGTATCTTCTTACTTTCTTTTTTTCCTTACTTCTTTCTTATTATCCTATACAATAAACTTGTTGTTCTCAACTTTTTTGAGTTCTGTTGTTAGTTGATACTTAATGCTAGATTTCAGCATTGAATAGGATTAAATGGTCACCATAACGACAGTTTGATTTTCTAGTGTGACGTAGTTTTGTTGTAATTTGTTCAATAGGTCACCATCAACGCACAAAATGGCGCCCTGGGTAAGACGGGTATTCATTGAGATGTTGCCGAAGCTTCTTTGTATGCAGAGACCTGACAACAGTGATCTGGACGATCCCGGGAAGAGTGACTCCAATAATTATCATCATCAACATCATCCCCATTTGGTAGACTTTGCCGAAAAACCAGGTGTTTTAGATTATGAATGTGGAAGTTATAGTCCTTATCCAGTCGATGAGTTACATGTGGGGCTACAACCGGACATCAACGGGTCCTTAGATGGAATCAAGACATCTCCAGATGTTGAAAGGGCCGTGCTTAATGTCCGGTTCATTGCCCAGCATATGGAGAACCTCGATAGTTTTTCTGACGTAAGTAGAATAACTTATCATTTTTTATTGGTTTTTTCTTCCATGATATCACCAGAAGTCAAAGTACATATAGTTGTATACTGAATGATTCCAAGCATTAACATATAATTATTAGCATTAAGATAAAATTATTAGCATTAAGATATAATTATTAGCATTACGATATAATTATTGGCATTAAGATACAATTATTAGCATTAAGATATAATTATTGGCATTAAGATACAATTATTAGCATTAAGATACAATTATTAGCATTAAGATATAATTATTAGCATTAAGATGGAAATGGAAAATGGAAAAACTTCAACTTGTTTCAAAAGTACTTAAGGTGGAATGTTCACATGTTTCGAGCGTTCAAGTCAAGGCGCTCATTCTTAAGACCCGCAATAACCTGTGATTCACGTGAGCAACCGTGAGATGAAAACCCAACAGTGGAAAAATATGAAATAAATTAATTTCGTATTTCGCTTTTTATTTATGCAATGATGTAGTCATTTAATAATTCGCCGCAATCGGGATTTCTTCTCAAGGGTGATCACGTGATTCACAGATTCAGTTTTGAGAATGAAAGCTTTGCTTTGAGCACTCAAAACATGTTGTTTTTCTACTTTAAGAACATTTAATCACGTTTTTCCCTAAATTAGGGTAGCATAATTCACCCATTTCAAGAAGATTTTAAAAGAAAAACTATTACAAAAAAATTCGGAAGGAAAAAAAATTTTATTTCAAATTTCTAATAAAAGTTAAATTTGGAGAAGGAAAAAATCTGAAAAAAATTGCTAGAAATCAAGAACACTAACATAGAAGGAACACACAAAAGTTTTTAAAAAAATACTCGACTCAAAATTTTATAAAAGGAATTAAAACATTAATTTCGATTCATGCAAAGTTACTTTTTTTTAAAAATTTAATACTAAAGTTAGATTATAGAGACAAACTTTAAGCAAAAAGAAAAAAATAGCAGATTTTTTTTTGTTTTTGTTTAAACTGTTTATTTTTTCTGACGAGACCAAATATTACGCTAACTTATTCGTAATATATCATGCTGTTCAAATAGTATGCTAACATAATATTTGTATGTCTCCTAAATAGTTAACAATAACAAAACAACAAACAAACACAACAAAACATCACCAGGTGTTTGACAACAAAATAAACACCAGGGGGAAATTTCTAGGCATAAACATACAACGATTAAAAGCCAATGTTTAACAACAATTACAATTTATAGTTTTATCACAAATCTTTAAATTGAAAACTTAAATTCTTTTTAGTTAAAATTCGGATTCTTTTAACCCTTTGCACTCTGAGTACTTTTAAGAGCTGTTTGATCTAATATCAGACCTATAGCATTTAAAATACACAATATACTATTGTAATACAATTTTAAAACTCTTGAAATAATATGGTTACTAATTATTAAGGTATATAGTATCAAGTCGGGAGGGTACTTACACTATTAAAAAACGATATTCAGATGTGCTAACTTGCTACACTTTATGAGCAAATCCTTCCAAGTTTTAGCAAGATTTATGATTTAATTTGTGATACTTGATTTAGTAAATTGTAAATTATTTCATCCATTATTACACATAAATAATTCAAAAATTCGGGTAAAATATCACCTTCCTTATTATATTGTGATGAGATTTAAACATTCAGAGCAGTAGATAATTTATGGTGCCAGTGATGAGCTATGGAGTGCGAATGGTTAAATTTCAAAGTATCAAGTTTGGAGGGTACTTACACTATTGAAAAACGATATTTAGATGTGATAACTTGCTTCACTTTATGAGCAAATCTTTCCAAATGGTAGCAAGACTTATGATTTAATTTGTGATACTTGATTTCGTAAATTGTAAATTATTTCATCCATTACTACATGTAAATAACTCAAGAGTTCAGGTTAAACATCACTATTCTAATTATATTGGGATGAGATTTAAAGTGTTTGCAAAATTAACCAAACTTCTATAGTTCGTTCACCAGGAGTTGGAACTTGGCTCCGCCTTCATCACGTGGTATCGGATGATACTATTTCGCTATTTTGGGGAGAAGGATGTGAACAAGGCTGCTATTTGGCGATCGTATGACAAAAATTTTTATTTCGCAATCTTCATGTGCATATTTTGAACATGTGCATTTTATTTCATAAACTTGTTGATATTTCTCTCTTTTTATTGAATAGTTTGTTCTTTTTGAGATATTTTGCTGGGAAAAAGTTTTTAAATATAAATTAGCTAGAATAACGAAAGGTATAATAGCTGATGATAAAGCGAAGTAAGTGACGGGAAAAAAATTCACTGTTTGTGTTTGGTCATCACCTTCTACATCAGAAAGTCTTCACATGGTTTCTTATAAGTAGTCTGCGCAGACTATTTAAAAAGTGAACACTTAGAGAGCATGAAACCAAATTCTATTTTAAAAGTGACCTATGCCTATGCCTATGTGAGGTGGGTATTTAAGTATCGGCCCCGAAGGGGCCCTAACTCATTCATCTGAGTGGGGTTTTTAAAAGTGACTGAGAGGACTTTGTTCATGTATATTTGAGAATTGAATCTGTAGTGGTAGACAAGTAAATAAGACAAACTAATCATATTAAAAAATTAAACAAATTTTTAGACATATATTTGCTACCACTTTCTTGTTTTTACTTGATTTTCTATTAAAGAGCTCTTTCGTAAACTGGTTTGCCATCATAGTGGTCTGATTGGACTACCTATAAAAAACCGTGTGAAGGCTTTGCGCACATTTGCGGTTATCTCGATTTCAAGCGGGGAAATGTTTTTCCTCTTTCTCTCCCGCGCTGAAATGAACTCTGCGTCCGAGGAGGTGGAGCCAAGTGCGAACTCCTGGTGAACGAACTATACAAGATTTTGTTTTATCTATCACTTTAAAAAAATCCTTCTAAGAAAGTTGAGTAATTGGCAACCTTGGTTAAGTAAAAAATGAATTATTTCTACTTCTTCACCATTACATCAAAAATACTTTCGAAAAATCTTACATTTCTGAAGAATTTAATATTTAAAAACCAAACAATAAATGTTCCTCTTTTCCCAATGCTTTCTCCCAGTATTTTTTTGTTTCTTTAAATTTAGAAGAAAGAATGTGAATAAACATTTACATTTATGCAAAAGTACTATTCATAAAAGGCTCTTAAACATTTCAGCTGTTTGACTCTCTTTAACAAACTTTCTTTTTTCAAGTGTTCAATAAATAAAATATTGAAGTGCAATATGTATCTTTTTTTCCTTTCTTTTCATTGCCACTTAAATATAGATATAAAAATATTTCTTCAGGGTTGATGTTCGAAATAGTTTGACGATCCCTTTACTACCCAGTGTTGAGCATAGCCGAAACTATCTTTTCCAAAAAGGTCAGAAAATGCTTCCTCGGAATAATGCGTAAAATTCCACATATAAATAATAAATCAGCTGTAGTTTCGCCAGTAGTTTGTTTAAAATTTTGTTCTTTATTCTTTGGAGGAGAAGAAAGGAATGTTCGTAGAACGAAGTGGTGTTCTTGAATGATTCATAAGCGGCAGACGCCTCTTTCCAAGATCTGGCACCTCAACCCGGGATATTGACCCACTGCTCGAGGCAGGGTGCCAAAATTTGTTCCCCGCCGATGCTCCTGAATCGTGGGTACAACGGGATAATGTAGCCTTGCTGTTATATGTTAAGCCAGTTTCGTCGACAATCGATTACTGCTTTGGAACATTCTTTTGCTCTCCTTTCTTCCACAGGACTTAAATTATTGAAGTTATATTTTCTGCCTCGCTGCAACACATCGTTTGCGTTTAGAAAATTGAACGCGTNTTAACCCTTTCGCGCCGACTGTCACAAATACGTGCCAGCATAAAACCGTATCAATCAGGGTAAAAAGATAAAACTTGTAACCAAAGTAGTTCTTTAGCGGTTTATTTGTGGGCGGAATTATAATTGTTTGATTTATTTAATTCACCATTACTTTGTTCAAAATAAAACTATTTAGTTATACTTTGAATTAACATTGATTATATATACATGATTAAACTAACAATAATTAAAGTAAAAGTAAAGTAAGTCTGTCAAATTAGCAACGCCTACATTTAAGTTACCGATATTTAAGTTTTAATTACAACTTGATTCTGATTTTGTAGGAATGCTTTTCTGAATCACCCGTCCCCAAGGGGTTAAACTTCGTCAAAATGTTGCGAACATCATTTTTTTTAGAATGATATTGGAATTAGTTGAAACTCCAATTCCATTTAATTTCTTAAAACAGCAATTTCTTAAAACAGTTTTAGGAGCAATCTTGATAATTTAAGTCTTTATTTTTGAGATTGCTGACGAAACAATTACAAAACATCTAAAAGTGTCGCTGTCCTGTGTGTACGAGAGCGTGTTCTGCCGGAGACCGTTTAATACCTTCTGATAACCAACTCAATCGGTTATTTTTATTTGAAAATTTTATTTAGCTACGGTTGTTTGAAATTTTTATTTGGTGCTTATTTGTTTATTCGATAAAATATCTTTACATTTTTAACGGATTTTCTGATTCAGATTATGGAAATCAAAATGTTTTACTACACAAGACAAGAAGAGATCTATATATTACTTCATAATCAGAAGCGGAGAAAATTGAAGCCAATAACGCTGGGAAATATGGAAATCGGAAAGATTTGTCCTTAAAATGAATTGTTTTACTCCATGAATTGAAGTCACATTTCCAGATCAGCATAAATCTACACCGTTCTGTCTTTGAAAATTTCATTGAGTTCGTTGCAAATTAAACAAATCAATATTAGTCTCGAAATAATAATAGCAACTTAACAATTCAGAAGAAACCGTACGAGTCCAAGTATTCTTTTGTTTTTCTTACCATTGTCAATGAATTATCAATAACAATGAGAAAATAAATATGATTATAATCATTAATCTATAAATTATCATTAGTTGAGTACTGCAGTAAGGACAAACTTCTGCTTAGTGATATTTTTGGAGAAGTAATGGCTA